TTTTGTAAAGCGATTCTATTTTGTTTCACACAAAGACTAAATTAATATTTTCAATTTTATTAAATGGAAACGAAATGAGTACTTCTTAAAATGCTTGAAGTATACTTATTATTTTCGACTAGGGATTAAAATGTAGGCCAACTAGTTAAGTGTCTGTTCTCAATCGCAGTTAAATGGAGAGGGACAGCGTAGGTTTAGTATGCTGCTGGAGAGTAGGTAGGTTTTCGTACTTGAGGTATCTTCTTGTGATGGATTAGGTCTGTGGACAAGCAGACTCTACTGCGTCTGTGTATTCTCTCCGATTTTACAGAACACCGTGTACGTACTGGTCGTGAATTCCCTGGAAGCTAGAATAAAATAGGATCCCTATAGTATAATAACAACACGTATATAAAATAATAATTTTGAAGTTGGGTTTCTTTTACGCATGTGTGTGTATGTGTGTGTGTGTGTGGGGGGGGGGGGTAGGTACTCTAACCCTATTTGTTCACCCACCCACCCAAGCATAACAATAACAAATTAGATTGACATTTCTTACTCTTAGAAATATAGAAAGATGAACTCCATCTCAAATAATAAACACTTGATACAACATTAATAGAAAATAAATACAAAGCCTGTCTGTCACTCGTGTGTAGTAGGCCCCTATGAGGTCCTTGTTATGCCATGTAATTATAATGTCCTTCTGTGATGTCCCCTCGTAGCACACTGCATGACGTTTTCTCGTCATCATTAGCCCGTTTGGTGCAGACAGGTAAAACCCCAAGATATTCGAACACAGACCTTCCGTTTACAGCGCTTCAACCTTGAAATAATTTTACACTGAGTGCGAATAGGTCGCGATCAAACAGGTACGAAGGCAATATCGATCAGGAACATGCATGACGCCATAGACACAATATTTGAATCGCATCCAAATCTACCAATCTTTGCGCAATTAGGTGTTTTTAGTAGAAGGTCACCAACAAGAAGACGGTCAACAAGATGAGTAGCCCTTGGGTCCAAGGACCAGGTTCGACAATTCGTCAATGGACGCGCTGAACTCACGGTGTTGAGTAATATTGTTTTAAATAAAATGTATGGTGTACAAAGCAGTTTATTGCACTTTTGTTCCGTTGATTCCAACCAGTGCAGACAGAATGCGATCTATATGTAAGTCAATGTATTGCGCCTGAGAACTTTCTCGACAACCTGACTCAATACTATTACACATGTATATATATAACACAGAATAGCTGATATCACTAAAGTAGTTGTTAAGGGTGGAGCTTGTTGTTTTCCTATCTTGTATACTGAACAGTTAAAATCTGCAACAATGACAGGGAATATAGAGTTTTAAAATACAAATGTAACGTCATCCTTTGATGTTGGCGTACCATTATTTCAAATAATGGTACAGGCATTGTGCCAAGCGTACATTATTTATACTAGTTGAAATATTGAACCAGCGTGATGTAATTCATTGACATGTACAGTGCTGGATAGTGTCTGTATTTTAAGATGTATAATGATCGTGCAAGACATTGCGTAATAAGTGTGGTTTAATGGCCGAGAGTGAGACATTGCGTAATATATTGAAACATCACGAGGGACTATGTCTTAAGCTCGAGACCACTAAACAACTTAAAATACAGACACTCGAACGTGCTTTCCAATGAAATACGTCACGTGCGTCCAAAATTTCAACTAGTACGCTTGGCACATTGTCCGTACCATTATTTGAAATAAACGTACGCCAACATCAAAGGATGAGGTCACCTCTGTATATAATGTCTCGCACTCGACCATTTAATTAAAACTACACATATTGTTGTCTACAGAAAATAGGAACTGTACACTTTATTTAATTACTAGCAGGATACCCGGCTTCGCTCGGGGGTCATAACTCCGAAACCGGAAGTGGTAGACTAACGCCACCTGGCCTATGTTACTCCCCGGTCCGAGCTACCCCTATACCCCAAATTTCAGACTCGGGGTAGACCTACTGTAGCCGCCAACCCCGAACAGACAGACTTCGCTCGGGGGTCATAACTCCGAAACCGGAAGTGGTAGACTAACGCCACATGGTCTATATTACTCCCCGGTCCGAGCTACCCCTATACCCCAAATTTCAGACTCGGGGCAGACCTAGTGTAGCCGCCAACACCGAGCAGACCGGCTTCGCTCGGGGTTCATAACTCCGAAACTGGAAGTGGTAGACTAACGCCACCTGGCCTATGTTACTCCTCGGTCCGAGCTACCCCTATACCCCAAATTTCAGACTCGGGGCAGATGTAGCCGCCAACCCCGAACAGACAGACAGACAGACAGACAAACGACAGTCACAAATATATATATAGATAGATAGATCGATATCTTGATTTGTGTTATGCCTCGTTTTGTTTTTAATGTGCTTATTATTTACCTTTAGGACAGTAAATTATATTCAGGTGCATCGATGTCAAAAGATGTTATCTCATATCTTCTCTTTGTTTTTGACCTGAGTATTTTTAACCCCAATTAGTTAGCACCTGTTGCTTTAACATTGGGGACTGAATGATTTAACCTTGGGGGATGGCGGGGCGGGGGGGGGGGGGCAATGGTTTAACGATGGGGGCCGAATGGTTTCCTTGGTGTGTGTGTGGAGGGGAGGGGGTCGATAGGGGCCCGAATGGTTTAATTTTGGGGGGATGGGGGGCGAATGGTTCAACGTTGGGGGGATGGGGGGCCGACTGGTTTAACGTTAGGGGCGAATGGTTTAACGTTGGTTGGGGGGGGGGGGGCGAATGGTTCAATGTTGGTTTGGGGGGGGGGGGGGAGGGCGAATGGTTTAACGCGTGTGTTTTTCTGTAACAAAGTCTTTATCGAGTCATGTGGCGTGGTTTCAATTTCTCGTTTGCCCTGAAATGAAATTGAGTCATATGTTAGTTTGTGTCGAGTGAACGTTAAACACCGCTCGTTCTCTCTCTCTCTCTCTCTCTCTCTCTCTCGCTCCTAATGTTGGTGACTGGGTCGTCAATAAACAGGGATGTCGGCCAATGGAAAATGTGACACAAGACGGCTGCAATTTACTCCCAGGCTCCACCCATACTTGTATTTTAACAGAGCTATGCTAGGGGGGCAACATTTCCCGTGTCGTTTTTATTTGTCCCGGACTTTCTCTATGGATATTCTAGTTTGGTAGGCCTGATAAGGACAAGCGTCTAGTCTTTCGGATGGGACAAAAACCCACGACTCCATGTATACCTCTGATTTACACGTTAAAGATCCTTTGTACAGTTGTAGATTTAACGAAGTGTATATCCTTCTTCGTTAGCCCCCCCCCCCCCATATGGTGCAGAAAAGTAGGATATTAAAGTCAATTTCAGAGGTCAGATGGGGTAAAATACCAAATTCATGTTTACACCTCACGTAAGTGGACGATTTATGGGTATATTTAGTTGATATCCTTGTTCTACTCCATCTAGCCTAACATTACATACAGCCATTGAAAATAAATTACTATGTGCTGTGGCGGACGCTGTTTATTGTGTTTGGAGGGAGGCGGTGGGGATCGGGGGGTCTTCCTCTGAGATAATTTTGAAACAACTTTGGAGGTCATGGTGATTAGTGGTGCATATTTGAACCCGAATATAAAATTTAATTTGATCAGATAAATCCTCAATCTGTTTCACAGAGGATTACAAAAGTCTTCTAATATCTCTGTAGAAGATGACTACCTTCAACACGTGACGTCTTATCACGCGGCGTCAATCATTGGCTCAACGGCGCGTGTATTTACACTAAATAGGAAATAAATTTTACCTATAAATACGTCTAACGTCATTATTTAGTTTTCTAATAAATAAAAAAAATTGTTTAAAAATTTAATTTGTCGGAGGAAAAAAGTTAATATTTGTGGCTCATTAAGCCGCATCGATGTCATCCTTATCAGTGATTGTCGCGGCCTACCGAATATTAACTGCTGATCAGTGTGATAAATTCTAACTATAGAAATAGATCAAATTTAAATGTTTTATGCAACCAGAATAATAACTGAATTCTTATTTTAGAAATAACACGCCCACTTGTATTCACCACTGACCGTGTGCTCGAATCGTGATATCGGTCGGTACATTCCACCCTATTAATTAGTAGCTTTTAAAATTTATGCCAGATGTAAGTCACGTGACTTGAAAACTTATTGTTCATCCTGTGTTAAAGTGAAGTTCAATTTATCGCAGAGAGAGAGAGAGAGAGGGAGAGGGGGAGAGAGCTGGGTTTAACGTCCACTCGACACAAACTATGTCATTTCGGGACTAACATATGGTTCAATTTTATTTCCATAATTCGCTTGTGCGTAGGGGTCTTGAGTAGCTGGATGAAACATGAGGACTCGGAGAAACCCCACGAGGTTGGACAGGCGACTCTACTCCTTGTCACATACAACTGGGGAACCAAAGCCACGCCAGACCTTATGATACAACGCGCACGCGCTAACCATTCAGCCATCCAATCCGCTAGTACCCCAGAGAATCTGACTCGAACGACTGTTGTACTACTGTAATTTTGAATCCCCGTCGCCGCCACCATTTCCACTCCAAATGTGTGAGAGCTAGAGAGGGGCTAGGTCATTTCGGGACTAACACATGGTTCGTTTTTATTGCATTAATACGATTCCGCGTAAGGAACTTTAGCACTTGCAGGAAACCTGAGGAACTCGGAGAAAACCCACCGAGTTTGAAATGACTCGGGTCGAAACTCTGACATTTTTTTAAATGACAGACCGTATAAACGAATGCGAACACGTGAGACCATTTGACCACCCAAACCCCACCCACCCCAAATGTTATGAAGTTTTAACCCAAACATCTGATCTAATAAAACACATCTGAACAATGAACGATATCTAGTCTTGGTTGGTTTCCGGTGTAACACTAACAAAGGCTTTGTTAGATGAAGCATGGTGGCTCATATTTGGGTGAATTTATATTTAATAGACGACTGTTAAAACGGATGTTATTCACTCGTGTCGTGTTGAGGGCGGTTGACATGATGTTGTTAGTAATTTAGGACTTTCTATAAATACATCACACTGCTATAATACAGTGCTCATATATACTGAGTTTATTATATACATATATATTGAGTTTATTATATACATATATAGAGAGGAGGTAAGTTTATTTATATTTAATCAAATTAAAATGCGGTTTAACATCTTACTGTTCTGTATCAACTAGTATAATAAACACGGATATACGCCATGCATCGTGCAATGACTGGGATTCCATTCCATCTGAAGGAACGTTCTCGCCAAACACCGGGATCGACCCCTGTATTTCCTGGTTAGCAAACTAGGGTTATCAATAACTCTACCGCTAAAAGGCAACGCCTAGTAACTCACGTTTTTCTTATTTGGAGAAAGCAAAGGAAAACGTAATGAATGAATATTAAACCCCAGCTTATACATTGATTTGACTAGTGAGTTACTAGGATTTTCTGTGACATACTAGGCAAATGAAGGAAGTTGATAGGTTGTGTCATGGGTGTAACTGCTTACAAAATCAAAAGGTTGGAATAACTAGTACAACTACAGGAAGCACATACCCTAGTAACTACAAATTTGGTCCTAACTCAATTTTGATAAAAAAAAAGTGAGTTACTAGGTTTTGACATTTGACGGGAGAACTGGTCCGACAAATCTCCTAGAACTGTGTACATTATTCATTCATGTGGGCGTTTATTCATTCGACCAAAATGTTTGATTACATTAAGGCAATTTTTTAATAATCTATATGTGGAATTTATTAAAGATGCATTATGTAGATATAGAGATGACCGTTCTTAAAGTTGCATCATGAAAGATTTAGATAAAGAGCCGGTCGTTCTTGCTCTAATAGTTTTAAAATAGATAATGAAAAATGAATATATTGAAAATTTCATTCAAATTACTTTATTCTGAGCGAAGTTATCAATGTTTGTGTGCATTGATTGTTTATTATCGTAAACACGGTGCTGGATATTCAAGACGTAACCTTGCTTATCCATTTATTAATAAAATCATTAAATAATCGAACCGTTCTAATCTACTTTAAATCGGAGCCACCCGATTGCATCAAGAGCTGATTATTGTCTTGCCATACTAATAAATGTTTAATTAATAATTTATATAACAGGAATACACGCAATAGGCAAATTTAGCTCTTGCATAATGCCTGTGAAATCATTTAGATGACATTTCAGGACTAAAGAAAGACCTGTAATTGGCAGATTTAGCTCTTGCATAGTGTATGTTCAAGCTTTATAATGTTAATTGTCCAATCTGGTTGGTAATTATACCTTTAACATGCCAATATTAATTTCTTGTATAACAAGTTCTTTTTTTTGTTTGATTATACAGTAAAATATCTAAATCGTGAAAAGAGACGACCACGCTTCATCCGTTAGTAGAGAAAAAAATAATGCAACATAATAATAGATTAGGTTATTTAGGTTTACCTCGCACACATACTCGGTGGTTAATTGGGTTGGTATTGTCAAGTTTCGGGTAGGTTGGTGGCTCGGGAAATCAGGTTGACTGAAAGGGGATTCGGTTGACTAGGAGTTTCGGGCATGGTTCCCCCTTGTCAGTGGTGCGGGATGTGGGACCTGGCAAGGGGCATGTACACGTTGACGTGCACGTAAAAGACCCCTTACAGTTCGATTTTGAAAAAAGGGTAGTTTGTAGTGTCCCAGTCCGGACACAATTTCCCTCATAGCACACTGTATGGCATATGCCCGTCTTCAGTAGACCAGCTGGAGCAGAACAACAGAACGTTAAACCTTAGTTCATTTTATTTCATATTATGTTAAAAAATTTCTAGATGTAAATTATAGCTTCAGTTGATCACCAAAATAATAGTCTTGACTCTGTATGACCTACTACAGGATATAGTGTAACTGTCTCTCAATGTAATTCTATATGTTCACTGGACTGTGGTACAGTGGGATACAAGCTTTAGAAAACAACATTAATGTCTCTCGACTTAAACTTTTTACTGCGACTCTATTTTACAAGGCTGATATGTAACTGTGCGAAGGATTAGATTGCGTTCACCGATTTACAAAAGATAAATATCTCCTCACTATTGTGGAAAAAAACCCGAAGAGCGCTGACACAAGTGCATTCTTACACCCAGCACTCTGTTAGTAAGTACAGGAGAACCGCACCACATACAAACCAGATCATTTCAGGACTAACAGATGTTACAATTTTATTCCAATAAACCGGGGGACCCAGAGCAAACCCACGAGATCGGGCAGGTGACCATACTTATTACGTACACATGTGGGCTCGAAACCACGCCACTTGACTCAATGACAGACCATATTATCAAAAGCGCACATGTTAAACCATACGGACATCTAACCACTCTCCCAACCCTGCATATTCTAGATACTGAACTGTCCCCTTTTTCGTCCAGTGCGTTGTTCCCGGTTTATCAGCATGTTATACGAGAGGAAATAAATTATTTATAGCATAATCAGTGGTATTATGTGTTTGTATATCAGACAATGTTTCCAATGTTTGTTTTATTTGTATTTTCAGACCTCGAAGAAGATTATTAATGTAAATAGTGTTGATTAATACAGATTTCTTTGGTAAATATATTCAATATTTATTGACAATGCCATTGCTACAAACATGCAATTCTGTCGTATACAACGCATCCTCCGAATACCAAATTGGCAGTAAGGGTCTGGAAAAGACAGCGTATAGTCGTTCGGATGAGGCGAAGGCCCGAGGCCATGTCTGCACGTTGGCGTGCATGTAAAATAACCCATGCCAGTAGGAATTGAATTGCTTTCTGGGCTGTATATTGTACAGCAGTCTTCAGTGTTTCCTTAAAGCCCAGTCGGAGCAGAACAGTAGGATGTTAAACACCATTTCATTTCATTCCATTTCATTTGTCCAGTATCATTTATTAGCTCAAGATAAAATGCTATAATTTACACCATTTTCTGCCTCTTTAAGGTTCAAGCTAAATTAGGATCAAGATGCCGCTGAGCAATAACAAGACAAGCCAGGAAGATTCGGGCATACTCCGTGCCCTGATGCCTGGCGCCAACATTTATTACAACAGGAAGATCGTCATCAATCACAGTACCTCTAATGATACTCGAGTCCTGAACATAGGCGGAACTCGTTTTGAAACTTATGCAGACACTTTAAGGCGATATCCCCATACCCGCCTAGCAGACGACAGGTTTCTTAAAAGACATTACAGGGACGAGAGCAAGGAATACTTCTTTGATCATGACCCGGAAGTATTCAAAGCCATCCTGCAGTATCTGCGGACAGGCGAGTTGCATCTTCCAGCATCAATGTGTGGTGCTTCTGTCAAGACAGAGCTGGAATTCTGGGGAGTGGAGGAAGGAGATATAGAGGATTGCTGTTGGTTGAACTACAACTCGTGGGCACAAACTATGGATTCGCTTAAAAAACTGGAGCAAGATCGCAAAGTGTCCATGGGAACATATAATTACGATCCTATAGAATCTGGAAAGTGGCCTAAAATTCGGAATTACTGCTGGCAGTTTTTAAACAACCCGAATTGGTCTATTGGGGCAAAAGTAAGCAGTTTCAAACTTTACTATATTTTGTTGTTTAACTGATTGATTTATTATTTGCTGTGAGAAAGGGTGTATATTGTTTATTAACATCTACTACTGAAATTCTGGTAGCGACTAGCTAACACCATCACAATCACAGACTTCATCGTATTTAACTCAAAGTAGTGATTCCTTCTGATTGTTAATATGGCCGTAACTATGCATACGGAATGGTAGATATATTCTCGCTAGGCAGGGGGTTGTGACGCTGGCATGTCGTCGGCATGTTACAGGCGAGGAAGTCTATCCATTTGCATACATAATACTTAATTCGAGAGTGAGAGAGAGAGAGAGAGAGATAGAGAGAGAGCCCATTTAGGGCATTTCGTGGCTGATATATAGTACATTAGTTCAGTTACGCTGTGTCTTTAGCAATAGGAGGATACCTGGGCACTCGAAGGAAACCCACACGGCTACCACATCTACCCTCATTACTATTCCAGTTCAGTTACTTGTATCCTTATTATTTCAGATATACGGAGCTGTGTCAATGCTAATGGTGCTCTTATCCATATTGTCTTTCGTCTGTCAAACACACGAGTACTTCCAGGTTCCTGTCAACGCTTCCACAGATTCCACAAACAGCAGCAGTCAACCCACTCCCAAACTACACCTTCCGTGGTCCAAGGATAATGTTCATCCCGGACTATATATAATAGATTTACTGTGCTTCTTCTTCTTCCTACTTGAATTCATCGCCCGATTTATTTTTCATCCGAGCAAACTTCGATTCTTTCTACGACCTATAAACGTCATTGACCTACTGGCTCTGGTGCCGGACGTTGTGGCTTATTCTTATCTTTTGGACGGATCATCGAGTTACGATGCTATCAAAGGAGTGGTGATCTTCGTGTCGTTGTTGAGAATAGTTCGTATACTCCGTATCTTCCGCCTTATGCGTTACTTTCCTGGGTTATGGACTCTAGGCTATACCCTCAAATCTAGCCTCAACGAGCTGTTGCTCATGTTGATGTTCCTGATAATCGGTATGCTGGTTTATTCCTCCTTGATATATTACGCAGAAGAACGAGATAACTTCCCAAGCATTCCCAGGGCATTCTGGTGGGCGATTATTACTATGACAACGGTGGGATACGGCGACATGTACCCGGTAACCAACCTGGGGTACTTCGTGGGATCCATGACGGCTGTGTCGGGTCTTCTGCTGATCGGATTCATTGTTCCGGTCCTTGTTAATAATTTCATTTTATACTACAACCACACTGAGTGTGCCCTGGTGCGCGAGAAGAGACACGATAAAAGGGTCCAACGCGAAAAGAGAAAACAGAAGATGTTTGAGAGGATGAGCGCGGCTAAAAATGGAAACGTGAGTGTGGACGGATCGTCTTCACCGGTTATAACAACAACAGAAACTAAATTAAACGGTAGCCCCGTTAATGGGGTTCCAATCTGAACTGTTCCAAACAACTGTGTTTATATCTAAATGCAGTATTTCCGACCCGCGATTCCGTCGGAATGAACTGTTCAAAACAGCTGTTTTATATTTAAATACAGTTAGTATTCTCATCTAAATAATAGTGCATATTTAAATAGAGTATTGTCGACCTCGGGCTGTACTGTTTATAAAACAGTTGTGTGCATATCTGAACGCAGTGAGTATTGCCGACCTCGGACTATACTCTTTAAAACAGCAGTCGGTGGACATCTAAACGCAGTGAGTATTGCCGACCCCGAATTCATCGGAACAAACTCTTGACAACTGCCCTTTTTATATTTAAATGAAATGGGTATTTCCGACTTAAAGTTCCTTGAAAATATGATTAGTATTTATATATGTACAATCCGTCATTGAATTTAGCCATCCGCTTCCACCGCGAGTGATATCGCAGATAACAATTAGACAGTACAGGTTGTCAGTATTAATACTACGGTTCCTGTATCATTTTGTGTTCTCAATCCACACGTTGTGCTAGTGTAGCAAAACGTTTAAAATTTGAACAAAAAACATTAAAAGTCTTATCTGGTAATCTACTTAAAAAGGGAAGAGTACTGTGCCTCGTGAAACATCCTTGTAGCGATTGGATTCGAGAACACAGACTTCATCAGTTGTGTTGCCCAAGGTGGAAGCTAGAATCATTTGGATACAGATCATTCTCAGTGAATGTGCCTAAACAATGGAACAATCTACCAGAAATCATTAAATCAAATTAATTAACTGTATGCGCTGTGAACATGCCTCTGTGTATGGAGTGCTAGTGCTATATAAATGTACATATTATTATTATTATTATATAATAATTTCTTCAGTGAAGAAAATATTGTTTCATTAGTTTCAAAAAGGCTGTTCATATATTTCCGTAATGACAGGGCAACATTTGTGAAAATCCGATAAGTTGGATTATTTCCCAAACAATCGTACAATTCGATTTTATCTTGTTAAGATTTTATGAACTTGAATCTTGATTTTTCTATATTTGTATTAGATTTGCACATTCAGAATTAAGGGCATGCAATGTACACTGTCTAGTGTCTGTGTTGTTGGACGAGGAACTGGGCATCAAGCGCAACTTATCTTGTTATCGTTTTGTTCGAGACTCTTCGATATAAACCCAGGCTTATTTCTTGAAAAAACTGCATCTTGAATTATGGTCTTCGATTATCGATATGACACGATAATTCCACGATAGCTGACGTCTAATGCTAGGTTCCAACTGTCGTGCGATGCGTTACGATAGGATTGTTCCTATTGAGTCTGGTACGTGCCCTCGGATACGTTTTGATACGATCAACACGATTGCTACGACCGACCTCAATATATGATAAGACCTGATAGGATCACGACGATTACTCCACGATTAAAACCACGATTTCAATCGTAGCGCGAATCGTGATAGCGGGGACCTAGTATTAGTCAGTTCTTTGTCCATATAATTTAAACATAATTTATTGATCGTAAATCACAAATGGGATGTGAGACAAGGGAATTCACATACAAAGCTCTTGTGTATTCAAATACATTGTTAAAATGTATATTAAGGTATATACAACCTGTCCATATAATTTATGTACATAATCTTATAATTTCTGGGCGAAATATCGAATTCATTTTAGATTCCAATCTATATAATATTCCGATCTATATAATATTCCGATTCCGATCTATATAATATTCCGATCTATATAATATTCCGACCTATATAATATTCCGATCTATATAGAAATCTGTTAACATTATTTTATTTTTTTTTATCAAGATTAAAATATTTTACGGTTCTTATCTGTCTACAATTACTTAATATAATTCAAATCGCCCATTGCACTTCTTTTGAATTTATCAACGAAGAATCTTAGCGAGTCGTTTGTTTGCAACTAGAAAAATATAACAAATGTCGAAAAACACCAAAGAGTTACGAATACCTTTAAATAGCTCAATGTTAAAGACAGCTGCCATGTCTTTATATTGGTATCGTCCATAAATGATCTTTTTTTTCTCGTAATTGTGCCTTACATCGGATGACCCAGCAAAAGCGAGTACAATGTGGGTGTTTGACATCCGCCTCCTCTCAGTATGTCACCCGCCCTGATCTTTGACGGCACGGAAGCGCATTTTCCACCCAGATATCGAATTTCTTATTTCTTCTAAGCTTATTTCTGTGTATTTTGCTTGAATTGTCTCGGTCAGTTCGTTTTCCGTAAATAATTCCGTGCGCCCTCCATAAACCTTTCCCGAGGGACTGACCACCCGATATATTATTAACATTGGCAGGAAATGTTGTATATTTTTTATATTTATCTTTGTATATTAACTTGCAAGAATAATAATGGTATATTTTCTCATGCATTTTATTTTTTAATATATATTATATATAGCTAACTCAAAGAAACTTTAAATCTATGTAAATTATGTAGGCCCATTATCTAACCTATTAATGAGAGAATTGACGTTTTGAGTATGAACAGTCCAATATCTAATCCTATCAGATATTTTATTAGATTTTTAAACATGAAAATATTATACGATGTGGGTTAAAATGCTTATTTACTGATTGTATATTAAATACTAACTAGACGATGTTATTGTGGAAATATGTTGTTTATAATTCTATAGCTAACAAAGGTAAAATAGTTTAATATGAAAATATTAACAAGATTTCTTTAACCTATATTTTCTTAGTGGGGTGGAATTATAACAACTCTGATCAATCCTAAATTATATCGGATATTTTATAGAACTATATTATGTATATTTTGAGTATTTGAAATTTTTAATTAATATACAAAATAAAACTAAATCCAAATTGGCTTTACTCTAAGCTTATTTAAACCGTAATATACGCGGGGGGGGGGGGGGGGACAATTCTATGGAATACACTTTCTGCTCAGTAATAAGCAGTGATTGTATGCCATAGAATTGTGACCTGTTTATTTCGAGCTCAATTACTAATATAATGACTAGAGTCGACTCGTCGTTCAGGAATAGTAAGCAGCAATGTATCTCTATGCCAGGTTCCACCTGTCGCGCGATGGGTTACCTCTATTGAGTCCACGAGTGCGTTTCGATACGGCCAACACGGTTACTACTACTACTACTACGAGAGAGTGTGTGAGAGAGAGAGAGAGAGAGAGAGAGCGAGAAATGATGAGGTTTAACGTCTACTCGACACAAACAAACGGTTCAATTTTTATTTCATTAATTCGCATCCGCGTAGGGGTCTTTAACAGTGGGAGGAAATCAGAGGACCCGGAGAAAACCCACGAGGTTGGACAGGGGACCCTACTCCTTATCACGTACATGCAGGGAATCGACACCACGCAACTTGACTCAGTGACAGACCTTATGATCTAACGTGCACGCGTTATCCATTCAACCGCCCCCCCCCCCCAAACGATTGCTACGACTGATCTCGATATATGATAGGATTATTCCACGATTAAAAACCACGATTTGAATCGTGATAGTGGGTACCTAGCATTAATAAAGACAAGAGTAGCTAAGCTGAAAAATCTCTCAGTAAGAAAGTGTAATTGTATTTCATATTGAATTATGACCTAGTATGTGTATTCCGGTTATCTCTTGAGTGAACCGCTCTTCAAGGCGTGGCATGTAAAATATTCTTATCTAAATTGTCTTGCACAATCTCGTACAATTGAATATTTTTTGGTACCGTATAAATCTTTCCATTATACTTCTGGAATATTGTCCAATCGTTGGTTTCATAATAAGGACATTAACCGTCCAGGGAATACAGTTTTAGGTTATTATGAACTTATTATCGGGGTGTGATTTAGGTCATGAGGTCTGCCAATGAGAAAAGTGGAATCGTTTGGATCTCATGCTTAGGAAATCAAACGTCGAGTTATAATGAACTTGTTGAACCTGGTTTACTTGTCGTGTATGACCTTGACCTGAAAAACGTATGCCACCTGTCAGATTGTTATCTCTGTAGTAAACAATATACCATGATCGCTATCGCTATATTCATGTTTATTCATTTATAATATAAATTGATATGTATCCTGAAATATGTAAATGGTAATTATTGAAACTTGTAAAACGTTCTCGGGTAAATAATTCGTCAATGGGTCAAAGTACGAGCTACCCGGAAAGCAGAATACCTTTAAAATACAACACGTAAAATTAACATTAGGGACCCATGGTGTAGAAGGTAGCTTTATAGCAATCGGTACACTAGTGTAGTGTTTAACTCTCCGAGTATGCCAATTAATAAATCATCTTTTCTTTTTCTGTTATTTACTATTACATATATTTTAAAATACTACGAGCGGCTTTTGACCTATGACGTCAGATATTCGATTAACCAATCGGCGTTGATATTTTTAGTGGGTTACCCACAGTTCCACAGACCGTTTCATAATCTAATCGTTCTCACCATCCAGAACGCGGGTTATATAACAACTCTTCCATATCCTAGTGTAGTGAAGACTAGTAAAACAAAATTTTGAACTATAAAAACGAAACGAAATAGGATCTTTGGAAAATCATTTTACCGCAACGTTAAAGTTATATTGTATTCTTGTCACTGAACGAGTATTTTTTTTATCAAAGTTGCTTGTTCGTTTTAGACAACAAACTACGAGTGATGGTCCCCTAAAACAGGGGAAATCAACTCGAGTATCACATCACTTCCCCTGTTTTTGGCTGGCTTATTGCTAGACTCAAGTGCGGATTTCAAGAGACGCAATCACGATATTGTTGATCGCTAAAATATGTCTTGTTCCGCTATCGTTACAGATACATTTGGTCCAACCAAATCGTTTCAGTTTTATCATACTCGACTTTTATTTAACAAAACGGTTGACGATTATATCAATATCGAAGTCATATAGCCTGGCCTGAATATTGAGAAATATATAAAAAGTTTAACTGTTAAAAATTAAAATATTCAGAAATCAAATTATTTTATCGTCATATCAGATAGACCATTTTCAAAAGATGTAATTTGTCATTTGTTTAAGTGGCTTTTTAGAAATTGGTTGTAGCCACAAGGCTATGTTGAATACAATTACTGTTTTAATAAGATCAACGTGATTCTATTGTCATTATCAAGTACATTTCAGTCATTGTGTTCAGTAAATCTTTTCTCTTTTATTTAATGAAATTTTTACTTAATATCATTTTGAAAATTACTTTCTTGAAACTTCGTCTCTTCCTATTTGATGTCCAATTCTTCCTTTAGTGTCTATTGCTCTTAATTGTTAAGGGGGCTTGGATGGCAGAATAGTTAGCGGGTGCTCGTTGTATCATAAGATCTGTCATTGAGTCAATTGGCGTAGTTGTACGTGACAAGGAGTAGGGTCCTTGCTTTTCTCCGTGTCCGCCGGTTTCGTCCCACTGCTAAAGACCCCATATGCGCAAGCGAATTATTGAAATAAAATTGAACCATGCTAGTCCCGAAATGACCTAGTTTTTGTCGAGTGGACGTTAAACCCAGTTTCTCTCTTCCTCTCTCTCTCTCTCACTGAGATAATATATATATATTTTAAAAGTTTGTATGAGTATAATTTACATATTATCTTATAAAAATGAAATGAAAGGGGGTTTTACGTCCTACTGTTCTGCTCCGAACTGGGCTAATGGAGACGGGATATTATCTTATATGGGGTATAATTTATATGATATCTCGTATAATATATATACTATTTTGTATGCTCTATACATTATATATACATTGTATGGGGTAATTTATCAAATATTTTTGATGTTTTCTATTTTAAATATTTTCTAGCCTGTTTGTAAGGTTTTTAAGTCTATTTTTTAACTTTTCATTTTAGAAGTGGAGCGATTACTTTATATGCACCTTGATTACATTTTTGATATCATAAATAAAATTAATTTTATTATTTTTTCATACTTTTTACAGAATATATGTACTCTTTTGAAATATATTTTCAGTCAAAAATCGGTGACATTAATTTTTCAAGTTATTATCTATGTTTTTTTTTTCGAACTCAAAATCGTGTAGTTTACTAAAAATCTGGCTAATTGATCATTATAATAAAATAGAAAACCTTTAACGTACGAGGTGCCGCGGTGTCTCAGTGAGTAAGTTATTGGCTTGTTAACATGGAAGTCCCGTGTTCGATCCCGGTGTTGGCCGAGAAATTCATCGGAATTTTACGGCGTGGTTTTCCCTTATTAGTGATGCAGCACAGAGGGAATGGCAAGGGACAACGTACAACAGTTTGGGCAGAACGGGAAAACGCCCAACTTGGATAAAATTCAAAAACTCTGACTTAAGGTATTTTGGTTGATGTAGTACCTGGTTAGAGAAATAATTTAAATGCATTTTTAAAAGCGACTAACGCTTTTTGTTGACTTTCTGGTCCGTGTTGTGGCGAATATTCCTGATTCAGGGGCGCAAGGACCAGGAATTAAATATATATGAATTAGGGTGATGGCCTACTAAAATGATGTCACTGCCTATGATTCTGACAGCGCCTAGCAAACAATCGACCCCCCCCCCACCTTGGTCTTCTATATTATAACATTAAAATCATTTTAATGTCCAACAGTCATGGATTTAACTCTGAAGTCAATATGGAAATAACTCCATTATACATATAGGAGGCAGACCAGCATTAAATTTCACCATCTCGGTAGTTCGTCTATTTATAGCAATTCTCTCTCTCTCTCTCTCTCTCTCTCTCTCTCTCTCTCTTTTCTCCCCTTTTGCATGCCCATTTTTTGGTCTAGAATGGACGAAGAGGGTTTGAATTAACATTTTCTGCCAGGTTTTGGTAAATATTCATGATTTTGAGGCGGAAGGATAACGGGGTTATCAGGTTCGCTATGGCGATATGTACGGCAACTAGTTACATGTTTTTAGTATGTTTCTTCAAGTTTGTGTATCTCAAAATTTTGGTGGTCAACCTCATACAAATTTTAGTTCAAAGACATGACCATTTGTTTCTCTGTCTGTAGTGAAAAGCATTCAGCCCAACGAAAATTTGGGGAAAAGTTGGAGGTGGGCAAAGGGGCCAGAATTAACATTGAAGTCAATGGAGAAATTAATGGTGGTCTGCCTCCTGTATTAAGTCGACACTAGTTACCTCCCCTGACTTGGCTCATAATGTTCTTATATACAGAAATCAGTTTTCCCAATAATGGGATTCTTTGTATCAGACACTTTCAAAATGGCAGAAAAAAAAACCGTCTTCAGTTTGAAGTTTGAAGTTAGCTACGTGTGTGTGTGTGTGTGTGTGTGTGTGGTAGCTGTATTTAACATCCGCGTCCACCGAAGAGATGTCGCCGACAAGCTACGTTTAGCAGCACATCATCGTGTATTAACTGAAAATCCAGTGCCATCGATATATCATTTACAGCAAACGAAATGGGGTTTAACATCCTACTTTTCTGCGCCGACTTTGATAATGAAGACAGGCATACGGCATAGATCGGCTATGACGGATATTTTCACACTGATCCGCAGTGAATATTCGCTAGGCCGCGACAATCACTGATAAGGATGACATCGATGCGACTTAATGAGCCACAAATATTAACTTTTTTCCATCCCACAAATTCTAAAACATGTTTTTTTTTTTTATGTATTAGAAAAATAAAAAAAAGGTTTGAAGTATTTGTAGGTAAAAATTATTTCCTATTTTAGTGTAAATGCGTATTAAAATGAGTAAAAGGCTTGAATCGTTAACGTCTTATGTATACTCTGATATTGAATTCCAACTGTCAAGGGTACTCTTATGTGCAGGTCAATGTGTGCACAGGACCTCGAGTTTTCGTCCCATCCTAACGACTAGACAACTTAAATTTCTTTCATATCCATGAAGTACCACTTTCCCATAGAATGTCTAAGTTTCTATGCGCCCTTCATGCCTTTACATTTTACTGAACAATCAGTAGAAATAATGACGACACAGAGGCACAAGGTAAACTTTGTCAGGTAGCTTTAAACGTCAAAATACGACCAGAACTAGACGTCAGCAAAACGTGTTCGAAATTTGACGAATTGTTTAAAGTTTTGTTTGATCACCACTGGGATAACTAGTCTGTCAAACCACATCAAATTGAAAATTATATATCTGCCTATCGACAAAAATCTGTATATTGATAATAACTTTTTAATGAATGAAATCGGGTCTAACGTCCTACTTTGGTGCACAGGGGAGGGGGGCTGGGAGGTGGATGGCCGAATGGTTAGCGTGTGCGCGCTGTATCATAAGGTCTGTCATTCAGTCAGAACCCTACGCCCAAGCGGATTATTGAAATAAAATTGAACAACATGTTAGTCCCGAAAGGACCTATTTTGTGTCGAGTGGACGTTAAACCCATCTCTCTCTCTCTCTCTCTCTCTCTCTGCACCGAACGGGCAAATGAAGACAGGTCTTTCTTAATATGAATTGTAAAGATTGAAATACAACGAAAACATAATTAGGTGTAGAGTCCTAAAGGAGATGTCTGTCCAACCTCGTGGGTTTTCTCCGGGTCCTGCGGTTTGCTCCCACTGCTAAAGAACCCTACGCGCAAGCGAAATATTGAAATAAAATGAAACCATATGTTAGTCCCGAAATGAGCTAGTTTGTGTCGAGTGGACGTTAAACCCTATTTCTCTCTCTCTCCTAAAGGAGATTTGGCAGGCATTTTCTAATCGACTCAATATCTAAGCCACTTCATGGTCAGGTGAGTTGTTTAATGGCTTGGCATGTGAATACATATCTAAATAATAAATATATAAAACTTGAAGCCAGGAAAACACACGGCAAAAAATTTAATTCTCACCAGATATCTCTTTAAATAGTTTGTGTTCCAACTATCAACTTTAGCGCATGTGTTTTTAATGTTATAAATGTACATTGTCATATATAAATTATGTGTTTTTAATGTTATAAATTTGCAGTGTCATTTATTTAATCGTTGAATTACTAAAGTACCTTAAAAGTACTTCACAATTGTTCTTAATCCACTAAATCAACACCATCATGAATACATGTAATTGACAAGGGTGTCAAATATTAGGGCCGATATTTGTTTATATAATAATATCAATAGGTTACCCCCTTATGACTAGTCGAATAATTCAAGTACGTTTGAAAATAAAACTCTGAAATGTTGAGTATTTACAAGGTTTTAGATGCAGTGTCAAATAGGTGCTCTACTTTGAATTTCGTTAAGTTTCCCCCCTGAAGACTATTAGCCGAACTACCCCCAGAATCTTAGAAAACAAATTTCAGGCACCTGTAAATGGTGGTCAAGAACAGTAAATAGACGAACAGGGGTGGCGACAGTATGTTCCCCAAATAATTTAATTTTGTTCTTAATGTACTGTTTTTGAGATACGCAACACACAATGGTCTTGAAACATGCACGCAATAATAATAAATTAAACGACTGAGTGTTTCAAGGGATATAACTCTAAGTTGTCGTAGTGAATAAATGGTGGAGATCACCAATGATTTCCCCATTTACTTTAATGTTGATTCTCGTATCTTAGACTGGCTCTAACTTTTTTCTAAATTTTCGTTGGATAGAACGCTTTCTACCACAGAAGGAGCAACATGTGGCAAACTCTTGCTCAACAGCACGTATGAGGTTCATCATGAAAAACTTGCGATACACAAGCTGGAAATAGAAACAAGTAACCATGCAATTTTCCACCCTACATTTCAACCTAACCAACCTCTTATATCTCGTATCCTTCCGCCTCAAAATCACGAATATTTACCAAAACCTGGCAAAAAATGTATATTCAAACCCTTTTTTCAATTCTACACCGAAAGGTCAACAAAGATCGCCATACAAAAGGCGGAAAAAAAGGGAAAGGGGAGAAAGACTATAAATCCTCACCATTCCTTGTCAAATATGTTCAACACATTATAATAATTTGATAAAAATATTAAAGACGGCTCATTACACAATGAAATAATGTAAATTCAAGCACTATTATTTAGTCTAAGGCCGAAAACTCATAGACCAGTTAATTTATGAAAAAAAAAGCGTGAACCAATAAACCGTAGTAATGTTTTTTTTATAGATTCTCCTAACGTTAGTTGTACTGAATGCCATCCTAAAAGTTTGCCAAAATTGGTTTACTGGAAAGTATCAAATGTTGAGGGTAAAGGACGGGGTATCTAAGTCATTTTACTTTAGAATGCTTAACTTCGGACAAGCACAAAATCTTCATTTTTTAAGAGAAACACACGAAACTGAGGCCTTTCTCTCGCTTATCAGGGCTAATGTTTCACATGAAACGGTTTGCATGTATCTTCCGTGGTATTCGTACCCCAAAAACATACGACCCAAGGGATACAAGGGACAAGTTAACACCACTGGGTTTCATAATACATTTATTCGGTCTTAAGCAAATCGTTTAGGATTTTCTTTTACATTATTTGGGCGAATGTCGGGAATCAATTTCCGGTGCGTAAAATTTGGTGCACTTTTAGGATGTTATAAAGTACACCTGAATAAAGTCAAAAATGCATAAAAACGTTTTCTTGCAATTTGTTGAGAGTAAAATCATAAATTGACTGGTCTATCCACACAAATTGCTTTCGACAGACGAACACTGCTTTCAAAATCTTCTAGGAATTCTTCTTTGATGCCTATTATAATATTATATTAGTTTCCTAACCACCAAGCTTATATCTTTGTTGTTTAAATGTATCAAATACATCAATAAGAAACTATGTGCAATTTTTTGTGTTTCTGGGTCAAATATATTTCTCATAAACAGTGATTGAAAGTTGAGTAAATTCTTAACTGAAGTGTGAGAATGCCTTGTGAACTCGGGGTCCAGATTATACCCACTGTATTATGTTGGTGTATATGTATTTAACGTCCTATTTATCTACACTTACTGGGCTATTAAAGACGGGCGGACGACATGCAGTGTGCTATGAAATGAACTGGGGTTCAATGCCCTACTGTCCTGCTCCGACTGGGATAATGAGGACGGGCATACGTCATGCATTGTGCTATGAAATGAAATTACTGATCTGCTCCAACTGGGCTACTAAAGACGTGCATACGACATGCATTGTCCTATGAAATGAAATGGGGTTCAACGTCTTACTATCCTGCTCCGACTGGGATAATAAAGACGTGCATACGATGTTGTGCTATGAAATGAAATGAAATAAAATGGGGTTTAACGTCCTACTGTTCGGCAACAACTGAGCAAATGAAGACAGTCTTGAACTGTGCTATTAAGGAATTTTTGACTGGTCAGGGACAAAATCGCAAACTATTATTTCGAATTCGAACAAAAAAGGGTTCTTTTACGTACACACTGACGTTTATACGGAACCTCGGAATTTCGTCCCTTCAAATTGACTTTATTCTTACCGACTCGGCGTCCTGCACCAGTTGCTAACACCGGGGTCAAACCTTCTAGTTAATGGACCGAGTCACAGTCCCCCCCCCCATTATAAGATATTAAAATCAGTGACATTGCATAAAATTAAGAATGCCTTGAACCTTCTAACACGCCGTGAGTGGTGAGTTATTTCTAGTAATTGAATACCCAACTTTTTCACTGTCTATACACAGGGACCTAATATAAACATTCGACTAAATAAAGTAGTATACTATGTTATTAATATAGTCTGTATTAATAGCTTAGTCATTGCCAGTCAACGCCTCAATATAACAGACGGTTTGTCGGCGGTTAGTGTCACACGGCCTCCTCCCAAAGTCAACGACTGCTTCAAGCCAGTACACAATGTGAAATAGTCTACCGGTATTTATTTTTGGTGGGGTGGGGTTGGGGTGTTGCGGTGCTGGGGTGATGGGGGTAATGTGGCTAAAAACTATTCCATTTCTGGGCCATCTCCTCCTCCCATCCGCCAACCCCACGTGTATCGGGTATTCGTGTATCAACCCGGGATCAATGCGATCCTTAAATTCAGTCTACGCCTAAATTGATTCCTTTGATGACCCCAAATGCCTGACCCCCCAAACCCGCCCTCAAAAAAAGGTAAATCTAAGAGAAAAAAGAAAATGAAGAAATTTTGAAAACACATTTATTGAACTTTTCATCATACCAGTTATTACCATTCTTCATTCCTATTCCAGGCTTCGATATTTACCAACTTTCTACAAAAATAAAGGTATATGTAACAGTCAACGTCGAAATGAACTGTTGTTATTCAGGATAAAGGTATATGTAACAGTCAACGTCGAAATGAACAGTCGTTATTCGGGATAAAGGTTCGCCATACAATGTTTATTAACATCGTTTTGAAAAGATGATTTCGCAGATTGTTGATCTAATATAAACTTATCCGTCGAGCTAATATAACATTCATTTATACAATAAACCTACTACAAAATGCTTAAAGCGAGAATTTCAAATTTTCAAGTTATATTTTTAAAATGTATTAAAATAAAGCCTTAAAATAGATGGTATCCATATTAAAGAATAATCCTATTAATCCTATAATTCGCTATTGCCAGCTGAGAAATTGGCAAAAATATCATTTTTAACTCCAAATTCCAACGTTGGAAAATGGCTGCCCCATGTTGTCAATAGCAAAACAGGGGAGGTAATTGTGTTGTAATTTCCTGTGTCATAGATTTTTAAGGGTGGGAAATAATGCCCATAGTGAGTTGATAAGCTATTGAGCAAAAGACATAGAAATAATTATGTTTTGACTTTCTTAGAAATAAGATTTGTCAAAGTTACCCATATGAAATTCCCGTAGTCAAATAATCACCATTTCTTCTCTAGATACTAGCAATAACAGATCCGGGTATTGCACAGCGCAGTAGACACATCGGCTTGACCCCCCCCCCCGATCCATTTACGTGATTAGATATTAGATTTCTTGCAGTGCCTGTGTAGTTGTATATTGTATGTGTATTGCGGTATCCTGGCCCTTACTATTAAATTATGATCCGGATTCGCTTCTATATTCCTGTACTTCATAAACGGAACCCCCGGGATAAATTAACCCCAGCCCTACCAAGACTACAATTTACTCCAGTCCTACCTATACTACAATTTACTCCAATCCTACTCTACCTATACTACAATTTACCCCAGTCCTACCTAGACTACTATTTACCCCAGTCCTACCTAGACTACAATTTACCCCAATCCTAAAGGTAAAGATGCGTACACTATAAAATCAATACAGAACACGGAGATTCAAAGATTAATTTGATAATAAACTGAACCATTAGACAGGTACAGCTATAGTGTACATCACGGCCAACAAAACCCCAACTATCTGTGTTTACCGTTTCTCAACCGACCCTATTTATTTTTTTTAACCCATATCACCGACCCTAAACTTTCCCCACCTTCTATTAATCGATCCTGGCGTGGTCTTCGACAGATACTGACATTTCTGTATTATAACAGATCCTTATTCAGTACTTTACGGTGTTCAAAATGCCACTACAAATGCTAAAGATTGCAACTATAGATATACTTTGTTAAAATGTTAATTTATTTAGTTATTTCCAATCTTACCCTAAAAGCCCACAAAGAAAAAGAAAAAACATTTTCTGACCGACCGACCGACCGTAAATTTCGTGGCCAAGTAATCGTAAAACACGTGTATTTTTAATAAAATATATTTTACCTATATTTAGTTCATCATTGCTGTGCTGTTGCTGCTGCTATGTGGTGTCATCATGTACTTCTGTTCAAAAGCTTTAGCATGTAAGATGAACGTCTTGGCTCCACTACACATACTCTTTACAAGACCATAGACCATCATCTTCTGTCTTTGTTCGGGTTGTAGTTTCTGTAAGAAATGAGCCTTGGCAGTCATATTACCCATAAAATCGGGCATTTCAGCTTCGAACATGTCTCCCATGCCAGACTTATCGCCGTCTGCCTTGTGCAGCATCTGCATTAGCTCCGTTCCCATGTCATTCTGGCACTTACACATTTCCAGGAAAGATTTGGTAACCATCATTGCCATTTTTTCGTTGCCTGCGTGGAAGCTTTTGATCGCACTTTCGAATTTTTCTGCATGTTCCTTCATTTCATTCTGCACGGTATCTTCATCCTGATCTTCTTCTCCTTGTTTTGGGTTTCTATTATCGGACATCATTTGTTCCTTGTGTTTCTTGAATTCCAGGAATTCTTCATATAGCGCCTTTTTCTTCTCCATTTCATGCATTTTAGCCAATTTGGCTTTGAACATTTCGAATTCCTGGTATTTCTGGTACTTTTCATATTGCTCTTTCTTTTCGGCCATCGCCCATTTTTCAAATTCGGACATACCGCCTTCCATTTTTTTCTTCTCTTCACCCCATCCGTCGGACAGAGCAACTGCCACCAAGCAAGCTGAGAGAGCTAATTGAAGAAACATTTTTATTCTGAAAGAGAAAAAATAATGAAAACCTAAAAGTAAAATTCATACATGGGAAACTGCGTGTTGTAGCCCGTCGCTAGAATTGGGACAAAACCACCAAACACCCCACACTTAAGATGCTTTTACAGTAGAAATAGTTTGAAATGTGTCACCTATAGTATAGACTCTTCTTATTAATGCTCAACGTTCGCTTCCACGGAGTATAGATTCTAGGTCATCTGACTATTTATAGAACAGTGAATGTTATAGACTACTCTGCTGTACATTTGTATCATCAAATAAAGTAAGAACAATAAGACAAAGCGCTAAAGACAAACACAGGTTGAATTCACAATAATAAACTCGACAATACAAACTTTGATCTTAATGCTAGGATCCCACTGTCACGATTCGCGTTACGTTTGAAATCGTGGTTTTAATAGCGGGGTAATCGTGGTGATCCCATAAGGTTTTATCATATATTGAGATCAGTCGTAGCTATTGTGTTGATCCTATCGAAACGTATAAGAATGTATCTGCACGTACCAGAGGATGGGTTCGATATGGACATTCTTATCTAAACGCATAGCACGACAGAGGGAACCGTAGCATGAAGCCGCACATCTGTATGACTTTACATACGACATAAACCACCCGATTAGATTTTATTACATACTTCGAGAAGGTATTTGTTGAGTAATAAAACATGGTACAAATAAAACCTTCTAGTAGTTTATCGAGGTTCGGGTCTTTCCGGAGTCCAAAATGGCCGCTTTATATAAATGAGAATTTTGGGGATAACTAACCCGAACCCTAACCCTAACCCTTTTTAAAAGACTGAACTTGGGTCTAATTTAGTTTTTACTTTTCTTAAAAGGGTTAGGGTTAAGGTTCGGGTTGGTATTCCCCTAAATACTCATTTGTATAAAGCGGCCATTTTGGTATGAGTTCTGGCTTGTTCTGGAATTTGTTGCTTCTAGTGGTGATAATATTTGTACCGTGCGGTAAGGACGGCCAGCCCTCGATAAACTACTAGAAAGTTTTATTACTCAACAAATACCTTCTCGAAGTATGTAATAAAATCTAATCGGGTGCATAAACAAATCAGTGTCACCTGTATGACTACTATACAAACTCTGTTGACGAACCTCTCTTTTGAAATATATATTTTTAAATTGAATGTTAAATTGTCGGTTTATTTGGATTATAAATTGTATAAGAAATTACTTGAACAACAATAAAATACATTCATTGTTTCTATATGCAAGTGGTTTCATTTAACTTAAATAAATGAAATGAAATGAAATGGTGTTTAACGTCCTACTGTTTTGCTCCGAACTGGGCTAATGAAGGCGGGCATACGCCATACAGTGTGCTATGTGGGAAATTTTGCCCGGACAGCGGTACTACGGCCTACTCTTATATCGAATTCCAATTGTCAAGGGATCTTTTACGTGCACGTCAATGTGTACACGGGACCTCGGTTTGTCGTCTCATCCGAATGACTAGACAGCTGTCCTTGTCAGGCCCTCCGCACTGCATCACTGACAAGGGGGAACCACGCCGGAAAAAATTTGGATGAACTTTCTCGGCCAATGCAAGGATCAAACACCCGACCTCCAGGCTAGCGAGCCAACGTCTTACCCACTATGCCACCGTGACCCCCATTTAACTTAAACATGCATTATGTAAGGGGATAATCTGTCTATTGGAGTTTTTTTTTTATTTTGGCTTCAAATGTTACATAAAATAGTATTTAGACATTTATTCACGCCTGTCATCAACTCTCATGGCGCAGATGTAAAGGGATTAAAATACGATCGCCATTTATTGATGTAATTTAAAAATGGAGAAGCGATGATGTGTCTCAAATGACAAGTAACGTTACTGCGATAATAAACCATCTATGTCAAAACTTCAAACAGCGATAACGTCGCCAAGAAAAATGTAATTTGAATAAAATTCTCAATCTAATATTAATTTTTCGTAATCTATTTTTGAATTATTATAGTGAGAACGACCAACTCTATATCAATATCTTACATAATGTATCTATCAATGTTCGGGGTAAAAGTTCAAGTTCACACCTCAATATAGAACAAAGTGTTAATCACAGATAAGCTGTAAAACGAAAATAATTTTTACACAAACAGAAAAATGTATGTACAAAAGTTCAGGTTCTCATGAATATATGTAAAGAGAACCCAATTAATCTAAGAAGTGGTAACAACCTGCCGCGAAACCCGTCATAGCTGCAGAGCCTGTGGCCGAGATCGTTCATAGGGATTTTCCGACTTAATTCAGTGATGTAAGAACGTGTCGTCGTTCGGTTGGAACGAATAAATCGAGGTTCCATGTACACATTCCCTCATAACACACTGTATGACACTATACCGGCTTTAGTATTGATGATCGAGGCTAGGCCGAAAATTCAATAGCTAAATTCTCGGTTCATCAGAGTGGATCAATATGACTGAAATTTTCAGCAAATTCCCTTTACATTATCTATTTTTTAACTATTATAGTGACAACTGCCAGCTCTTTATCTAATCTCCCATAATGTATCTGCACCGTGGGGGAGGGGTTAGATGGCGGAATCGTTAGTTTGTGCGCGCTGTATCCTACAGTGATCCCTTCATAATATTTTACGTAACATGGGATTCCTACAGTGCTAAATGACGCATTAAGCCTTTAATTACAGCTGCAAATAATAGTTGTAAATATTGAAAACCCAAATATCCATCTCAGTATTGCTTTCCAACATTATTTATTCAGTAAATAAATATACGACAGTGATAAAGAATTGACGCTTACATATAAAATATCCACGATTTCAAAAAATTAGATGCTAATCCGCGGTGGATACGATGGATAAACTGATCTCTAACCCGATACATATTATACCTGTTTGACAGGTGCCCGGTGTTATTAGGTCAAATTGTCCACTCGACACAAACTAGATCATTTCGCGTCTAACAGATGGTTCAATTTTATTTCAAAAATTCGCTTGCGCGTAGGGGTCTTTAGCAGTGGGAGGAAACCGGAGGGCGCGGAGAAAACCCACGAGGTTCGACAAGCGACCCTACTCCTTGTCACATACAACCTGGGAATCGAAGTGCAGAAAAGGACATTAGGCCTCACTTCATCGTATTTCGATTTGAGTGTAAATATGTTATATGACAACGCTGAGAAAATTCATTTTTAAAGATGCATCATGAAAGATTTAGATAAAGAGCTGACAGTTGTCACTATACAATGACAAATCAATATATTTATAATTCCAGTCAAATTACTTTCTTTATTCCGAGGGAAATTATGACTGTTTGAAAAATAGCGCAGTCTCGATTGTCATGGCTACAGTTTTTACCATAGTAAACAAAGATCAGATTATCCATTTTTAAATCATTTAACGACGATCTTGTTTCAATCAATTGAAAATGATCTAGAGAGTTGATTATGACCTTGTCATTTAAATAAATAAATGTCTAATTAATGATTAATATAACTTTTCAGGTCAAAAGAACGACCTGCAATAGGACGATTTAGCTCTTACATCATGCATGTTTAAGTCAACCTAGCCTAAAACTGGTAACACAAATACCATCGTTAGAATTAGACGCTACTCCACGGACAACAAAGTTAGCTTTACGCCAAACAAGAAATTGAATCAAATATTTGTTTTTCTAGAGTAGACTTTAAGAAACATGGATAAGAGTTTTATATTTATACACTCACAATAAAATAGACGCCGATTAAGCTAATATAGAAATAAAAGAAACTCAGAACAAAAATTAAATTTTAAAAAGAAGGAATGATCAGTTCAAATAAAAAATTTGCATGTCGGCAATATTATAGAAAAAAACATCAATAATTCCAAAAAACTCTTAAAATAAAATTACAAAATCCCGCCCCCCCCCCCCACAAAAAAACCCCTCCAATTATCGGGTCAAATAAAGATTGTGTATGTCGACAGAAACTCTTGCACAAAATTGTAAAATACAGATACAAAAAGAATTCCGAAAAACTTTTAAAATAATATTTAAAAAATAACAAAACAATTATCAGGCCGAATAAAACTTATGCATGTCGACAGAAACTTTTAAACAAAATTTTAAAATAAAACAAATAAAGATTTATCATAATAAGGTAATACAGAAGGATTTCCGACACACTTTTAAAATAAAATTTAAATAATAACAAAACTATTATCAAGTCAAATAAAAATCGTGCATGCTGGAAGAAAATTTTAAAATAAACTTTAAAAAAAAGGCAATTAAAGATTTTGCATGTCGGTGTCGGTATAATAATGTTTTCGGTGAGAATTAAATAGGTTTACACATAGAGTCATTAAGTAATAAAATTAAACAAAAAAAAATCAAATAAAATAAAAACCCCAATAAAATAGAAACATCAAGTCAAATAACAATTTTGCTTGTCGCCATGGATATTTTTTTGGTGAGAATTAAAGTTTACTATGCAGTAAGTCAGTACATATTTGAACATGGACGAAAGGAGACAGTCTCTGTTTCATGCATTTATACTTAAATAAATATATATTCACCTAGTTACAGCATGAACTTACCTTAGACTGGAGAGATTTTAATATACAGCGTGTACAAACTCCTTGTGACTACAGCCCAAATACAACGGTGTATTTATACCCTTGGTAATTCTAAAGGCTATTATTTACAATATGACATGGCGAAATCTATCTAATTATTGAATCGATGACAAATATTTTCTATGTTTAGTGGAGGTCATTCATGTTTTTGTAAAGGCAGAAACTATTCAAGGTCTTAGCTGTATATATGCTAACGGATTATCAAAAATTTATCCAAGAGATCCAATTGTTTCTCCTAAGTGCAAAATATTTTAATTTAAATGCGTTAGTTTTGAGTAAGGGTGAAAGGAACAGGGTTTACGGTCTCGTAATAACTTTGGGTTTAACATTAAATGAAATGAGGTTTAACGTCCCGCTTGTACTGGGCATATCCCATACAGTGTGCTATGAGGGAAATTTTAACCGGACAGAGGCGTAACGATCTACTTTTATATCGAATTACAAGGTGTCATTTACATGCACCCCAGCGTGTCCACAAGACCTCGGATTATCGTTCCATCCCTACGACTATGAACAAAATAGATTGAATAAAGTAGTAACGATTACCATGAGAAAGGCATGATGTACGCTCTGTTTCCATAGCGACTGTTTGGATTTAGATATAAGAAGGCGAGGCTACTTGGTAGACAGGGGCATCAGAAGGCGAGGCTACTGGACAGTAAGGAGCATCAAAAGAGCCTTCTACTGTTTAAATTCAATAGTACAACTAAAATTTGTAATCTCATTGATCCTGATACACTAACCAAGACGTATCAGGTTCGATTTTCTAGTTTATGAAGTTCTTTGGGATTTTCTAGCCTGGTTTCAGAACGAAGTATAGTTGGAATTTGAAGAAAAACAGGCGTACATATCCCCCTCTGTGTGGACACGTACCCTTTGTGCGGATAGTTCTTCCTCTGTGCGGACACCCCCCCCCCCTACCAACTGCGGACACACACCCCTCTGTGCAAAATGTTCCTTGTAACAGCCCGGTTGGCGAGAAATAGTACGACGTTGATAATTATTAGAACCCCTCGAGTAAGAAGTGATATCAGGTGGTTTAGAGTGAGTAAGCAACACACGTCGCCATGTTGTATGAAACCCGTATTTTGGGTGTGGCCATTATGATATATATATTACATATTGCCCTATGTCAGAGTGTTATCAGTATATACTTCAAGTAAAACAGATCTATAGTACGTTAATGCCATCAGATTACAAGATCACATGGTCATGTTATTCTACCCTAATCGGTTAGACTATGTATCTCTAATATTTCTTATTCACTGCCCATTTATTAAACTTAATGATGGAAATGTAATTGATGTATTTTAAATGGTTCGAGAAATTTACACCAAATGTATTAGCTTTATCTGTGATATTTTAATGTTTTAATTATTTTAAATGTACATTCTGTGTGATGTATTTATTGATCAAATAAAAGAAAAAAAAGGCGTTGGTCGAGAAAGATTTTTTTTTTTGATTTTCCGGCTTGGTGCCCCCTTGTCAGTGGTGTAGAATAGCGGTGGGGCGGGTCTGGCAAGGGACAACGTATAGTCGTTCGAATGGGAAGAAAAACGGAGGTCCCGTGTACACATTGGCGTGCGCTTCAAAGAACCAGACTGTAGTACCACTGTCCGGGCACCCCCCCCCCCTCCTCCCCACACTACACCCTGTATTTCATGTGTGAACTACAATGGCGTCTACAGCAACAAGGTTTAGGGCATTCTACACTTAGAGAACTATTAACTTGGGGAATTGATCTCTGTACAGAATATCCACCATGTTTAAACATCGAAATACTATCTTGCAATGCGATTTCCGGTCTGTTTTATACGATTCATGCGCATGAAGACAAAAAATAACCATTTTCATTTTTCTAAGTGCACACCGAATAAATACTTCTCAACTTAGTGTTTTCGACTAATACCGTCGACGCAGGGAATGAAAATGTCGGTCAACCAGCTTCACGACTGTTCTCAAGCTGCGCTAATTGTAGGCATACAGCGTAAGTTTCGTATGGGGTTGGACGCGTTTTGAAACGTTGGACATATGCAGCATTAATATCACACAGAGCGCTAAAGGGACATGGAAGAGATTTCCGTGGTAACGTGGAGAAAAATATTCATTAACATGGCAATTTATAGAAACCGATAACTACCCATTCCGCCTCTTCTTGAATCAATAACTTCTCTAAATAAAGTACTTATCAACTTCCATAGTAATTCATGCAACTACAGATTTTCATAAGAATTATATCTAATTTGTTTTAAATCTGACATGCACGTAAAAGATCCCTTGACAGTTGGAATTCGATATAAGAGTAGGCCGTAGTGCCGCTGTCTGGGAAAATTTCCCTCCTAGCAAACTTTATGACGTATGCCCGTCATCATTAGCCCGGTTCGTAGCAGAATAGTAGGACATTAAACCCATTTCGTTTTATTTCATTTAGTAAGACGAACACGTTTCTAAGACAAACCAGACCCGCCCCGTCCACAATAAAATGTGTCATTAAATTACAGCCAATGTATAAGATAAAAAAAAGTCTGCTCTATTTCAAATTGTCAATTGTTAGCTTGGTACCTGTTTTTGTTTTTATTCAGTCGTCTCTGAAAGCCGTGGTATAATTTCCTTCCAGTATAGTTAAAATAGAAAACCGGTCTACGAGATAAAGATTGGGAAAGCTTTGTGAGGGAGTGTTTGTTTATGTCGATATAGAGGAGACTTGTAGCTATGATAAGGGTGTGGTCCGCTGATCGTCTAGTATATTAATGTATGTAAGCAGGGCGGTGGTGTAAAACTATATAAGATAGATTTTCTGTTTTGTCTGCAGTGACAGGTGCCATTTCCATCGCATACTATACCCTCAACACATTTATACGTATTTGTAAAATTAAATCAATTCAGTGTAAATCAAAGAAATATAAATGACACGCTATAGGGTTTAACGTCCTACTTTTCTGCGATACGTAAGGCGGCCATACGCTATACCGTGTGCTATGGGGGCAATTTATCCCGGACAGCGGCTCTATGGACTACCCTGTTTTTCTAAGGTTCTTTTTCGTGCAACGCCTCCTCGGTTTTCGTTCCACCTGCCAGGTCCTCCAGCCTGCATCACTGACATGTGGAAACCACACCGAACAATGCCAAGGAACCTTTTCTGCCAAAACTGGATGCGAACCCGAGACATCCTGGATAGAGAGAGAGAGAGAGAGAGAGAGAGAGAGTGTGATCATCTCGGGACAAACATATGGTTTAATCTCCTTGTCGCGAATAAGATGGGAATCGAAACCCTGGCCCTTGACTCAATGACATACTTTATGAATGTTAACCATTTGGCCACCCATACCCCATCCTGGATAACGATCCAGCCGATTACTTAATGGACCACCGCGGCCTCCAAATAAACTATAAATAAAATAATTGGAACAGTTACTATATTGACATAACACTACGAGATTCGTCTATTAAGTATTGTTTATATTACGCAATGTCTCAGCTCGAGACCATTAAACATCTTAAAATACAGATACTCAGCACGTGCGTTTACAGTGAAATACGTCACTCGAGTCTAATATTTGACAAGGTACGATTGGCAAGTTGCCCGTACGATTATTTGAAATAATGGTACGCCAACATCAAAGGGTGACGTCACATCTGTATTTTAATTAGCATTAAAATACAGATGTGACGTCACCCTTTGATGTTGGCGTACCATTATTTCAAATAATCGTACGGGCAACTTGCCAATCGTACCTTGTCAAATATTAGACTCGAGTGACGTATTTCACTGTAAACGCACGTGCGGAGTGTCTGTATTTTAAGATGTTTAATGGTCTCGAGCTGAGACATTGCGTAATATATTGTAAAAACACTCGGACCTGACGGTCCTCTTGTTGTTACAATATATTACTTAATGTCTCGCTCTCGACCATTAAACAATACTTAAAATAGCTTGTTTTAGACTTTTAATATGGCGTGCGCGATGTATCATAAGGTCTGTCATTGAGTCAACTGGCGTGGTTTCGATTCACCGGTTGTACGTGACACGGAAGACGGTCGCCTGTCCAACCTCGTGGGTTTTCTCCTGGACCTCCAGTTTGCTCCCACTGCTAAAGAGCCCTACGCGCTATCTTATTATTGAAATAAAAGTGAACTATATAATATTAGTTTCTCTTCGTCACTGTGGCACCACTCAACGCTCCCTTTATGCATTGCGTCACCGCCAACACATCTACACCCACACAATTCTATACTATGATTAATAATCAACATCTTATTTGTCAAATTTCTTTTTATAGCTTTAAATCATTAATAAATTGACTATGTTGTTGTCAGACCAGTTCTACGACTATCCAACAATATGTAGAAACTCTATACCTGTACGTGGTGTGACGCATGCATTTTTATAATTATCACACGTTACAGTTACTAACCTTTTACCATCACAGTTACTAACCTCTTAGTATCACATTCTTTTAATGTAAATATTTGCAAACAGTGTTTTTCTTACTATATTCGATTACAGATTCAAGGAGTGGGGATGGTCGAATAGTTAGTGCGTGCGCGCTGTATCATAAGGTCTGTCATTGAGTCAACTCACGTGGTTTCGAGCGAGGTTGGACAGTTGACACAAGTCTATGCCCCGTACAAGTGAGGATTCGAAACCTCGCCACATGCCTCGATGACAAAACTGATGGTCTCTCCTCCACCCCCCCTCCACCCCCCCCCCCCCCAACGTTTATACAGATAGTGCTGAAATTTGTGACATTTAATTATTGATGAGAATGTTCTCCGGTATTTTTTATCCTTGCCAGAGGTGCAGGGTGGGGCCGGGGCCGGGGCAGGGGTGATGGTCTAACTACGGTCTAACATAAAGGGTAGTCTTATTATATCTCCATACGCAAGGAAAACTCTAATGGAATGCTTACAACTTTTAAACTTTGAAGTCTTGAACTTTTAGTTAATTTTTAACAACATGGAACTTATTGGACGAACACTTTTAATATGTAAATAATCTACGGGTCCAGCTATGTG